TTGAATAAATTTTGCTTTATGAAAAAGACTTACTATTAATTTAGTGCTGATATTCCCAATTCACTATAAAAATCTTGAAAACTTTGTCAGAGACCAGCACAAGAAAAATACTCCTGCTCATACTTCTCATCAAAAAAGCCATATTTGCAAAAGTTTTGTTGAACAGTCATTAGACATCTACCCTACAGTCTTGACTGACTCCTGACTTTTGTTTCTTAATCTTCAAAGGTTTTTAAAGAGTAAAATAGGCTATATTGACATGGTTAAACTACCAAGACCCTTACCAAGAATCAGTCTTGCAAGTGTTTGCTAGTGGAACTCAAGCAGGAGTGTGGAGGCCCTTTCTTTTTTTTTTTTTGGAGAGGTTTTTGCTATAGGGTGCATGTGTTCGCCAGAAAGACAGAGAGGGACAAAGAGACAGAAGGCGAGAAATCACCCCCCAGGGGGGATGGCCACACCACAATCCCTTCTCCTCCATTCTCCTCTCGGGATCTTGGGCACACATGCACACATGCCCAGCGTGAGTTTAAGCCACCAGGTCCAGGACTTGAACTGCAGTCGATTACATGGGAGTCCAGTGACATAGCCATTATGCCAACTGTTGATCCCATGTGAAGACCCTTTCAAGCCAATAAAGCTTAACACTACTCATTCTTTAGGTTTAACATAATGATCGCCTTCTTCTGGAAGCCTTCTTGTACCCCAAGAGGGGATTAAGTCTTCTGTTAAGTTCTAAATTGATAACGTGTATTTATAAATATTATAACACTATTTCTAACATGTTCAAATAATTGTTAGCTTAGCTCATCTGTCTCCTGAGTTAGAATGAATTTCCTTACGGGAAGGAACTGAGTCTTTTATTCTCTTGTTTCTCTAGCACTTAGGATAGTACAGAAATAATAAATAGTTATTACATGAATTTTTGGATGGATTCTGGAAACCTCGAGTGAATGTCAGGCCAACAAGTTGAACTTACCAATATAGTAGCCATAGACTTATTCTACAGTGCGATCAGTCGTGATGGTTGATTGTAGCATCATTCTTCACCCTGCTTGCTCTGCAAGCTACTAAGCAATAGCGGTCCATTTACATAAAATAAGTACACATATATTTTATACAAAATTAAATTATTCTATCTTACACAGATTAAAATATTCAACTTTTATTGGGTAAGGCTTAACTGAAAAAATTCTTTCTAATTTCTCTTACATACATGTTTTGTGTGAAATAAATTGTCAGAGAAAGATGTGGAATTTAAACACTTGTATATCTTTATAATACCAAAATAGCTCATTGAAAACAAAATCATCCTTCTAGTAGATTTAACATTCGTGTGTGAACTAGGCCATTTTCTCTCTTCTCCTTTTGAGGTCGTACATATAGCTTGCCAGAGCTGTACAAACTGCCTTGCCAGAGCTCTAAGGAGCTTTGCTTTATGTTACCTGGAATTTGATATGATTTGAACTAAAGAAAGAGGGGTGCCATAGCGGAATTTCACTAGTGAGATCATTGAGGGAAATTGGAAATGATTTTGGAAAAGGGTGGTGATGCTCTGGGGAGCCTGCATTTCCCGCTGAGCTGCACCTCCCTGTGGGGCATGGATCTCACTTGGCAGCCCCAAATCAGGTACCTGGTGTGCTCTAGCAGAGCCAGCCATCTTCTGGAGAACCATTATAAAATTTCCCTTTCCTAGAATCTCATTGAAAAGCAAATGATCACATCTCCTATGTTGTCCTTCCCACTTTCTCAGAAGCATGATGGGATAATATCAAGAAGTCAACCATGTAGTGTTTGTTTTTGTTTTCAGGAAACAAATAAACAAACAAACAAAAACCCTCAATGGTGAGGAAGTTGTGTCTAGACTTCCTATCACAGAGACCCTTAGAAACCAGCAAGTCCTTTGTATTGCCAGCACATTCCTACATGGAATGAGTGCAGAAATGGCAGATTGCAGTTAAGGAAAATGATGATTGAAATGCTATAAAGCCTTGTACTTCGGGAACTTTTCCTTTGCAATATTACTCACCAAAGGTACACCTCCAGGGATCCTTATTGCTTAGATTGGAAGCCATTGCTGCTGGTGTTCCAGGATGTCTGCAGAGAACAACAGTTGGAGTTTCTCTGCAGTCCTTACAACTTCCTGGAAGTAAAAAATAAACAGGAAAGTGATTAATTTCTTGACATTTTGAAATATTCTGACAGAATGGAGCAGAGAGTTATACTGGAAGTGGATAAGCAATAAAGGCAGATCCATTTTCCATATTGGGCCCGTAATGTTCGGTAGTATAAAAGATGCAAAGTTATAAGAAACACAGTTCCTACCTTCAAAGAGTTGATAAACTTTCTGAAAAAAAAAAAGGAAAAATGCACAGAAATGGTCATATTTTAAAATATTCTGTGATAAAGGACACATAAGTACTAGCAGAAAATAGGATATGATAGGGTCACTATTTTCTTTAAGGATTTACTATTTGTTTATTTTCTCTCTCTCTCTCTCTCTCTCTCTCTCTCTCTCTTTTTCTTTTTGGATCCAAAAGCAAAACACAGATCTTTACATATTACATATTACACAGTTAAAGATGAGAATAAAATTTATAAATATACAATGACATATGAGTTTGGTGTGTTTTCTCAGGAAGGCTTTATATATATCATTTAAACTTGCTGCAGGAGTTGTTAATCCAAAGCCCAAGGCCTCCTTGAAATTTTTATGTAGAATTTGGTGGAGTTGTATATCTGGGCATAGGACCAATATCTTACAACAGATTTTTTTATTTTTTAAAAATTTCTCAGAGGGCATGTGAGGTCTCCAGAGAGAGAAGAGTGTTGGGGTGGGGAATGAGAAAGCACCACATCCCTCCCACCTCTAGTAGGGAATGGTCACTCCACAATCCCTTTTCTTCCATTTCTTTTTTGGAGCACACATGTATCTGTGCCTAGTGTGTTTTTTCAAGCCACTGGATCCAGGAAATTGTGCAGTGGGTCATGTGGGATCTGGCTACTTAACTGCCGCCCCACCAGCTGGTCCTGTACAACAGATTCTTAAAGGGCTAAGGAGAAGATCCAAGCCACTAATTTAGAGAATGCATTCACATATTCTTACCTTGGTTTTACAATACCCTTTACTTCACTTCCATTTTTACCCATTTTATATAACGAGTGATTGTAACATAAACCTGATTAAATGCATTTATTTGCTAAATATGTTAAAGTCGACATGCTCTCTTCTTAATTTGGAAAACAGACAAGTTCAACATGTCATTCATGCTGAGCCCCACCTGCCATTATTGAGTATTCCTGGTGCTGGGTACTTGGCAGTACTTTTTGTAGCATAAATCCATTTAGCACTCAGATTCTTCATGAGATGTCTCTCATGAGATGACAGCTTTATTGTCACCATTTTACAGACAAGGAAACTGGGGCTCATTGAGTTCCTTCCTAAGTCCTCAATAACTTATGAATCTAGTTAATTTCCTGTCTTCCATCTAAGGCCTGTGCTTGCCTTCATCAGTATACCGAACTGTTCCATGATTTATGAACTGTTTTGTCTCTTCCCCTTCTGAAAACAAAAAACTTCCTCTGAATTCCAATTTGCTTTACATAATCCCTGCTATTTTTCTTTGTAAATGTCAAAATGGCATTTTTTTTTAATTACCAGAAGGTTCATGTACTCACCAGAGAGAGAAAGAGATAGCATCCTCCCCTCAGTGGATGTGGTTGCGTTGCAGTCCTGTTTCCTTTTTTCCTCCTATCAGGATTTGGGGTATGCATGTACCTGTACCTGGTGTGTTTTTCAAGCCAACCAGGGCTAGGATTCAAACTGTGCTCATTCATGAGGGATCCATCTCTCAGTGCACAGCACTTAACCACTACACTATGGGGCTGGCCTACAAAATGCCTTTTGATGTTAATGGGATATATATATATATACACACATGTGTATATATATATGTATATACACACACACACACACACATATATATATATATATACACGTATATATATTTTTGTTTGTTTGTTTTAAACTTGCCAGTGAATATAGGCACTTACTGGAAAGAGACAGAAAGAAAGAGGGTGGGAAAGTGAGAAAGCATCCACCATGGGGATGTCACACCCTAATCCCTATTTCTCTATTTCTTCCTTTTGTTTGGGATTTTGGACACACAGGCACACATGTGTGGCATGTTTTCCAAGCCACTGGGTCCAAGACTCAAACCATGCAGTCAGCCATGCAGGCTCCAGCACCTTAACCTCACCACCACCAGCTAGCCCAGGAAAATGGGCTTCTGGGCCTTAGTAGCCATTAGGTTTAAATATACAAATGGTCAGCATCATTTTCAATATAAAGGAATACATGCAAATTAAAATGGGGATCTTTTCATTAGATTTAGAAGTAATAGTGCACTTTTTTTTTTTACTTTGCTTAACAAAGTTGAATAATTTTTTTTTTACTTTGCTTAACAAAGTCGTATGAAGAACTAACCACATATTAACATTATTGTACTGTGTCTGTACATATATGAGAACATGGAGGAACATAGATTCTTAGTGAGGATACTATCTAGCTTTTCCAACCCTTCTCCCAACATGGCCTATGATGAGAGATATTGCTGATAGGAACTATCAGTGAACTGTGTTAGATGCAAAAGAAAGGAAGAAGAAATACCATATTGCATTGTTTGTAACTATATTCATTTAGCAAACCCCAAGTAGGGACAATCATTGTTTGGAATTTAGAATCACTGATATGCTTTGAAATTGTATATACTTTTTAATATATAAATATTACCTAATTTCAAAACTTTAGAATATGACTTAAGATATTTTAGTTTAAGTTTCCCCTTCAAATTATATGACTAAACAAACTATGAAATTGAGATCTTGTATATGTGCAAAACCTTTTTCAATTAATAAAAAGTCCAAAGCAGTTTATATTTTGAAGTATGTTTCAATGAAAACAAAATCACCTCACTACTCTGCGTTTTATTTTGTGATTTTAGGTAAGGCGCTGACATTTCTTCTGCTACAGCCGCCGAGCCCCAAACTTCCTCCACACAGCACTATCCGAAGAACAGCCATCGATCTGATTGGACGAGGTTTCACAGTTTGGGAGCCTTACATGGATGTGTCTGCCGTCCTGATGGGGCTTCTCGAACTTTGTGCCGATGCCGAGAAACAGCTTGCCAAGTACGTGCTCAATTCTAGTTTATTTAATTTATTCTTGTTTGGTTCATGTTCTTGGGCTTATTTTTTTGTTTTTGGTGGAGGCCATCAATTGCCCATTATAAATTATGTGTGTTTAATAGACAAAACATAAACAAACATCTCAACATATAAAATTTTTGAGATGGACAATAAAAGAAAAGCATATTTTCATAATTTTATCACAGTGGAGATTTAGCACAGAGCAAATGAATATTCTGTAGCATAATTTTCAAATTATATTTATTGTATCTTGAGATACTGCAGGCAGATAGCATAAACATGGTGTTTAAGCTGTATAACTACTCCTCTGCACTCATGTTTTTAAGCCAGCTTTTTCAAGGTTTCATTTGCACATGGTGTAAGGCCAGCTCGAAAAGGTTGCAGTGACCCAGGAAAGCAGTAATAAGAAATTAATGGAAGAAATACAGGAGCTGAGAGAGTTGCTAAAATGGAACAAGTGGGAAACACATGATACTGACTTACTGGGAGTGGTGGAGGTGGGTATGCTGGTTTAGAAGTTAGTGTGGTTTTGAGAACTCAGCTTTCTGATGCTGGAAGAATTCTTTTTTCTTTTTTTGGTGCGTAATACACATATGAAATTTGCCATCGTAACCATCTTGATGTACAATTCAGTGCCACTGTGAATGTTCAGAATGTTGTACAGTCATTACCACTATCTTGCTCCTGGTAGTGGTCACCTCAAGGGATAGGCCCATACCTCTGAAGCAGTTCCTCCCCATTCCCCCTGTCACCAGCCCTAGCAACCACTAATCCTTCTGTCTCTATTCTGGACATTTCATGTAAGTGGAGTCATACAGTCTGGATTTTTGTGGTGGGCTTCTTTTACTAGCATGGTGTTCATGATTTTCATTTATATTGTAGCATGTATCAATGCTTGTTCCTTTTTACCGGTGAATAACATTCCTTCTCTGGTTATACCACATATTGCTTGTCTGTTTATTAGTTGATGGACATATGGGTTGTTTCCACCTTTTAGTTATCATGAGTAGAGCTGCTATGAACATTCTTGTATACGTGTTTGTGCACCTGTGTTTGTCTCTTTGAGTAGACAACTAAGAGTAGAGTTACCAGGTTATGTGGTAATTCATGTTTAACTCGTTGAGGAACCACTAAGCTGCTTTCCACAGTGGCTGCACCATTTTACATTCACACCAGCAATGTACAGACTTCTGTGTGCTCCGTATCTTCACCAACACTTGTTCTTTTTAGTTTGTTGTTGTTTGCTTTTTAGTGTAGTCATTCTGATGAGTGTGAAATGGTAGAAATTCTTTTTTAAAAAACAAATTATTTTATTTAACTTTATTTATTTATTTATTTTAATTTGACCAGAAAGGCACAGAGTAAGAAAGACAGGGAAAATAAGAAAGCAAGTTGCCAGGTTCAGGACTTGAACCACAGTTGGCCAAGTGGGAGTCCAGCGCCTTTAACCACCATGCCACCTGCTGGTCTCGGTAGCAATTCTTAAACTACATCTTTGATTTTCTCTTGGGTGGCATTTTTTTTTTGGTCATTATTAACCTTTTTTAAAATTCCACTTCTTGGGAACCAGCAGTTAGCGTAATGGCTATGTTGCTGGACTCCCACGTAGTTGACCGCGGTTCGCGTCCCGGACCCGGTGGCTTAAAACTCACGCCGGGCGCGTGTGCATGCGTGCCCAAGATCCCGAGAGGAGAATGGAGGAGTAGGGATTGCGGCGTGACCATCCCCCATGGGGGGTGATTTCTCGCTTTCTGTCTCTATGTCTCTCTCTGTCTGTCTGGCGAGTGCACGTGCCCTATAGTGAAAACCTCTCAAAAAAAAAAAAATTCCACTTCTTTGCCCTTTTGTTCATGGTGACCTTATCCATATCCTCCAGTTTCCTTAGGTTCTGGCGCATTCTGTCTAGTCTGCTTACAGCTCTCTTCTCAGAAAGCGGAGACCAGAGAAACAGCTGAAGGCTCAGATAGAATGCTGTGGCTGGTCTACAGATCAGGCATTCTAACCCAAAGTCCATTTCCTACATTAGCTGGTAGGAAAAGAGTGTCGATTTGGAACCCAGGCAACTGCCATCCCCCATTACTTCCTGTCATACCACCCTGCTTCCTGAGCTTCACTTGAGTCTCTTACCTGTCTGCAGTTCAACAATTTACTTCACCTCTGTACAGTAAATTACAGGTTGGGGCTAAGTAAAGTTCTCGTCTCATAAGGTTAATGCTAAATGAGTTTGTATTTGCAAAGTGCTTAGAAGAGTACTTAGCACATACTGAGAGATCAAGTGAAGGTTTTGTGTATGGGGGCAGTGAGGGTGGTGATGCCCTTGTTACGGTCCTAGTGTTTAACACATCAAAAGAGCTGTCCCTTTCTCAAATGATCAGTTTGCTATAGTGGTAGCCAGGAGTGTTTCTGGATATAGGTGGCTTGAAGGTTCTCCACGGACTTTAAGATTAGGAGGGAATGCAAGGCCCCAAGTTGTGCCGATAGCGTGAGGCAGCTGCCGTGGTGCCAAGTCTGAGCATGGACGCTGCAGCTTTTGCCCTCCCCTTGGCTGCAGCTACCTTGGGCCCCCTCCAGGTATCAGCTCTGCTAGCTTCTGTTACCACAGCTTTCCTGCTTATCTGGAGAAGCCTTTAGCATTTTTGATTGTCCAGATTTTTGCTTGTAACTTAATTTTACATTTACCTAATTTTGTAACTCATTTTCACATCTGCTCTATTTTATTGACATGCACTCTTTTGCTGCCAGAGTTTTATTTTAGGTTTAGTAGTTAGTACTTTGTTTTAGAATAAATGTACATTCAGCCTATATCAGCATACATACACAGATGCACTCATGTTTTATCTCTATGTATGTCCACAGACACAAATGCTATAGTTTCCAGCAGGTCATTTAAATCTTGCTACTCCATCCTTTTCTGTCTTTAAGATTGGTATGACTTTCCACACACAACTCTGAATAAATGAACGTATCAGCATGTAGCCGTGAGGAGTCCAGTGTAATTTTCATCATGATAAATTGCATAATAAGCAAGAAAATGTTTGCTTATTAATCTGTAACAAGATTTAGATTGAGAATGGCCTGTTACGTCCATGACATACGTGGCTCAGGCTGCAGAGGACTGCGGTGGGGAGAAGCGAGCAGCGATGTGTGCAGGGGGTTAAGTGTGCATCCCACCCTCACGGTGCCCTGCCTGGCTGCCCCTTTTTGTGTCTGATTTACTGTGTACACAATAGCCACGTTCAGCGGCCTTGCTTCTGTCTGTGGTGTTAAACTTGCTTTATGAAGTGGCTTTTATGTCAAGCTTGTGCTTTTTAAAATTTCAGTTCACGTTTATTGAGAAAGAAAAAAAATAACTGTGGTGTTTCCTTCTTTGTTCCCATTCTTGTGAGTTTATGAAGGCAGGCCTTCTGGGCAGGGGCAGCTAGCTCAGGCCTGCTCTGTGTTCTGGAAACGTGTATCACGGTAGAGCTCCTACCTGTTCCCTCCATGTCATGACAGGCCCTGCCGGTGCTGACCCCTGAGTCTCCTAAAAAACTGTGAATGCCTCAAGATTCATATATCAGTAAGAATTGACTATACCTTTATTTAGAAAAGTGACATGTAGTGTTATATTTTTGAAGTAAAATTATCACCATTTTTGATTTCTAATGTTTTAGATAATCTTCCAAATTTTAAACTATTTTTTAAAATTAAGCAAACACTGAGGGATGGACCATGGCACAGCAGTAAAACATGACACACTTTGGGGCTGACCCACATGGGAAGGTCCTCAGCTTGTATTCAGAGACCTCCCTGAGCATATCAGCCACATGTATGCCCGTGGTCCAGGGCTGGCTGAAGCTGGGAGTGGATCCCAGCATCATTACCTGTTGGAAGTACTGTCTTCCCAGCTTCTCTCAGTCTCTGTCTCCCTTGCTCATGGAATAAATAAATAAATACACTTAATTTTTTTTAATTAAGCAAGCATTTATTGAGTAACTAATATGTAAAAGAGACAATGTTATGTATTCTATAGGTAGGAAGTTGAGCCAAACAAAGGTCCTTTCTGTAAGACTCATAGATGTACAGGAAAGATAAGACAATCATGATACAAAGCAAGGAGACTGAAAGGTACGGACATTCAGGGCGTGGAGAGATGAGTCAGAGCTGGGTAACGAGATGATATGCAAGGAAGCATTTCATTTGAATGTGTAATTTGCATGATTATGAGGGGAGTAGGGGATATACCAAAGAACATATGTAGGAAAGCACAGGCATACCCAAAAGATGGTGAATAATACTTTACAATATATGGTGAATGTGGACCAGCAGGTGGCGTGGTTAAGGTTGCTGGATCCCTCGTGGCCAACTGCACAGTTTGAGTCCTGGACCTGGCAACTTGGAAAACACATGGGGTGCAAGTGTGTGCGTGCCCAAAATCCCAAGAAAAGAATGGAGAAGAGATTGTGGTGTGATGTCTCTCTTGGGAGTGATTCCTTATTTACTTTCTTGCTTTCTCTCTGTGTCTCTCTCTCTCTCTCTCTGTCTCTCTCTCTCTCTCTGTCTCTGACAAGCACATGAACCCTGTAACAAATATATATATATGTATGTGTGTGAGTGTATGTGTGTGTGTGTGTGTGTATGTATGTGTGTGTATACATATATATGTTGGCAACATGCAAAAGAACACATACACACACACACGTATATAGTGAATGTGGACCAGCAGGTGGTGTAGTTAAGGTTGCTGGATCCCTCGTGGCCAACTGCACAGTTTGAGTCCTGGACCTGGCAACTTGGAAAACACACGAGGTGCAAGTGTGTGCGTGCCCAAAATCCCAAGAGAAGAATGGAGAAGAGATTGTGGTGTGATATCTCCCCTGGGAATAATTCCTTGCTTTCTTGCTTTCTCTCTCTGTCTCTCTCTCTCTGTCTCTGACAAGCACATGAACCCTATAACAAATATGTGTGTATGTGTGTGTGTGTGTGTATGTGTGTGTATATAT